AACTTAAGATGGGTCATATTTAGTGCGTGAGTAAAACTAGGTTTCACTTTTTTATTGTGTATTAAAAATAAAATAAAAATGTTTATTTTATTATAGAAAAAATATTAGATAAAGTTTATTCATAATTTAAAAAAAAATAAATTAAGAATTAAGTGACGCTATTTAGAATCCAAGACAGAAAAAATAGTCCTTAGATAATCTTTGAGTCATTAAACAAAAAAAAAAAAAAGAAGAAAAATCTAAAATAATTAGTGTTGTTGGTTGTTTATTTTTTTTAATATTATTATTAACAAAATGGCGTCGTGACTAATCTGTCGCCTTCCTCTTTGTATCAGTCTCTGCCTCAAGCGTTTTCCCGCGTTTTCCCGGACGAATTTGGGATCGATCCCTGGGCCGCTACGTCGCAGTCTGCAATGCTAACCATTACACTGCTACAAGACTGGTTAAAGGTTTATGGCGATGAGGTAAAATACATTTTTTATTACCAGAGACTTTATGGAATCTTGCTTTTCTATCTGTCTTTCTATCTTTAACGTTGTCAACATTAATTTATTAAGAATATAATACTTGATATAGTCCGAAAAAAAATGACTGAACTAATTGTAACATCAAGCAGAATTGTCTAAGCATGGGGGTCGAAGACTTAGTTTACTCACGAAACAAAATACAACCCACTTTAAATTAAAATTGTTAAGCATTACAGAGAACCAAACTCTTCAAATATCTGTCGCATGTTGAAAGATTCTTTATTTTAATCTGTTAAGAAATAACAAATCTCTTGCTTCAACTTTTGTGATCTATAACGCCTTTCAGATACTAAGAAAGGTATTCTTCTTCTTTATGTGTCGTGCCCCCTAAGGACGTAGGCGATCATGGCTCTCCACAACTTCCTGTTCCTTGTAGCTCTTAATATATTTTGTTTTTCTGTTATTTCTCCAAAGCCCTCTTCCGCCATTCATTTACTCAATTTCATTATGTTATGAGTTGTTTTCCTCTGTTCCTCTTGCCTTCAATCTGTTCTGTGAGTATCAGATTTTCCAAGCCATCTTTCCTCATTATGTGCCCTAGAAACCTCATCTGTCTCTTCCTCTTCTCTTCTTTCGCCGTTGCTCACATATTCTGTCCATGCTATCCTCAGCATCCTTCTGCAGAACCACATTTCTTTGGTTTAAGTCTCTTTTTAATCTTTGAGGAGATTGTCCAGCATTCACTGCCATACAGAAGGACAGATATCACGTAACTGTTCAGTATATTTTTTCCATGTTTTGAACGACGTTTTTCTATTTCTTAGTACTCTGCTTAGCTTTTGGAAGGCATCTTTGGCTATCCCAATACGCCTTTCAGCACTTTTTTGGTTTTGGTATGTCCGAATTCTTGGAATTCGCACTTTGGGCTCATCCTTTTGCTAACAACCATGCATTCTATCTTCTTGCAGTTGTTGTTTAATTTTTTCTTCTCAAGTTCCTTCACTTCGTTCTGCGGGAGTTTTTATAGTTTTCTTTACGTGTCTGCTATAAACGCTGTGTCATCTGCATACGTTGTGTTGTCAAGATTTTGGCCGGCGATAATGAATTCTGAAAGGACTTCTAGTTCAGAATCGCTTCGCTGTAAAGATTGAATAAGTTCGGAGAAAAGACACTTCCTTGTCTTACCTAAAAAATGTCCTTAGAAACGTAGAAAAAAAAGTGACTACCGCAAGCGAATCAGAAAAAAAAATGTATATTTTGGGGCACATAATGCAGAAAGAAGGCTTGGCGTACTTAATACTCACAGGGCATACTGAAGGCACGTGAAATGGGAATAAACAACGAGTGACCTACTTGCATAAGTTTCAGTAAATGAACAGTGAAACGAGAGGAAGAGGTCTGATAAAGGGAAGTTGTTGAGAGCCATGATCGCTTACATCGTGAACTGACGCAGTACATGAAAAAATGAAAGAAGCTTTATTTCGAAGTGCTAAGATCTGAGCATGCGTGATTCGACTTTTGAAAAAAAAAAAAACTTCTGGACATCAGCGTTTTTGATTTTTCTTCATCTTTTTTAATAATTACTAAATAAATGTATAAAGCAAGCTTTTCTTTTATATGAATACTATGTTATGAAAATTGAGATATAGTAGAGTCGGGTGCTCCGTATCAATATACACCTGATGAAGGCCGGACAGCACAACGGTCGAAACGTTGTGATAAGAACAACAAAGATAAGGACAATAGTTAGCATGTGGATAGTGTAAATAATGATAACATCTCATCCCAGAAATTCAGACAGAAGGCGATCAGGTGATAGTAACAACAAAGATGAGGATAATAGTCTGCATGTAAATATTGTAAATAATGATAACTCCTCATCTCAGAAATTCAGAGAGAAAAAAGTGAAAACAACTTAAAAAAAAAAGTGAAAGATTTCTTTTCATCCGTTTGGCATGCAAGTTCGTGCACCCCCCCAGCCATTTAAGGGTTAAAAAATATCCATAATAATCGTTGTACATTAACGGTACAATTTTTTCTCCCACTTATAACCAAATCCGACCCACATAGACATGCGTATTATGTCGGAGTTTTATTAAAGATCGGAAAAATTGTTTCTTTACAGATGTTAAAATACAAGAACACAATCTTTTATTCGAAACCCCCTGGGACCAGATACATTTTTTTTTCGTTCGGAAATTCGGGTGTGCTGGTCGCGTTATGATTATCGGCACGTAAAGTAGGATCGGTGCCCCGAGTTCAAATTCCGTATGTTGCAGTTACTTCGCACTAATGCCCTTGGGAAAGGCAAGAATATATTTCTTCTCCATCTGCTATTAGTTAAATATACAGAATATCCCGAGCTCTCTAGCCTTGAGCGACAGACATGACTGAAAACCTTCGAATACTAAACCTTAGAGAAGGCAACTGGAAAGCGTTCCCAAGAGACCATAGCAATTCATAGATAACAGAAATCTATGATGAACGTTGATCGCTTACGTCCTAAAGGGACATGACATTAAATAAGAGAGTAAATACTAATAGCTTGTGTAAGCAAATCGATTGTTATGGAATAAAGGCAGCCTCTCTTCCAGTGAGGCTTACCAGCAAGGAATGTAGTGCATTATGAGGATGCGTTATTTTTATTTATACCAGAGTCAAGAAAATTAGATAAAGATGAGCCATAAGATTACTGGCTCACGTTATTACGATGGTGAAAATTTTTAGTTTTCAGAATTTTGGATAAGAGACTGTGTATCTCGATTGAATCTTTACTATGTGTCACGTGTATTAGAAAATTTAACTCGCAAGGTACACCAGGAAATTAAGGGAAGTAGATGATTTAGAGCACAAGGTAAACCAGGAAGACATAAGTTATAGAAAGTTTAACGCACAAGGTACAAAAGAAAGGTATGGGTTGTTGATGGTTTACAGCACCAGGTACATCAAGAAGGCATACAGTGTAGAAAGTTTAACACACAAGGTACACCAAGAAAGCACGAGGTGTAGATGGTTTAGGTCGCCAGGTACACCATCAAGGTATAAGGTGTAGAAATTTTAGAGAATAAGATAGATCAATAATTTTCATTTAAAGTTGTTTATACTTTTAAGTAAGTGAAGATGGTAATTTTACCAGTTTTCTTACAGGTGCACACATTTAAATTTGAATTAATATTATATATCATAGTTTTACAAGTGTTTGTATTCACTTGTGTTTGTTTCTGAGCATGTGTGAATTTGCGAATGCAGAGACGGACGGGCTTTATATATATATATATATATATATATATATATATATATATATATATATATATATATATATATTAGATAGTTGATAGTTGTGTGTGTGTGTGTTTGGTTGAATAATCTAGATTTATTATGTCTATTGATTTTATTTTAATCCTCTCATATTCACGAACCAATTAATGTTGTTATTGAACTCATTAAGGAAGGCGCCGTAGTTTTTTTTAAATTTCTTTTATGCTCCCAATTCACCCCTGAAGTTGATCATGGATGAGACTGAGAGTCGTTGGGAAAATTAGGGAAAAAGTACTATGATTCATTATTTAAGGACACACACACACACACACACACACACACACACACACACACACACACACACACACACACACACACATATATATATATACACACACACAGATTTCTTTCTTTCATGTTTGATCTGATGAAGCCTAGAAAGGCAGAAACACGTAATAAAATCTAGTTTCAATGAAACGTTTTTTATTTGTTATATATATATATATATATATATATATATATATATGTGGACATTGAAGTCCATATATAGGTCAGTGATTGTATATATAAATAGTTGAGCAAAAACACATTTCCTGACGATTGCGTTTAGCATGAAACAGACTGTCACCTCTGGGTATTGACTTCAATGTCTACTTTTTTATATTTACATATGCTCTATCCCTGATATTGAGCACTTCAACCCATAAATATAGCATACCTTAATTATATATTTTATCATATATATATATATATATATATATATATATATATATATATATATATATATATATCTTGCTTAGTTTTTTCTACTTGTCATTACCTGACTACAACCTTTTCTTTTTATTAGAATCTCCCCCACACACACACTTTTATTTCCCACCACTCCTTAGAGTTGGGAGCTACCCATGTCTCGTCAGCATTGTGGCAAAATCAATACAAATACTTGCTCACAAGAAGCGGTCTTCCTGTTTTTTTTTTCTTCTTCCTTTGTGCCGATTTTAGAAAAGGAAACGGGGAAAGGGGTGTAAATCTTTCGTTCAATCGTCTGTCGTTCACACGGCGCAAGTTTTACTGAGTTTTACCTTCACTCGCGGAGTGAAAAGTTATCGATTGTAGTTTAGACGAATATCCTTGCCCTTGTTATTTTAGTTTAAACACATTCACAACGTTTCGGTTCCGTACCCTCTGAACTTTCCAGGCCGAAACTTTCTGAACAAAAAGAAAAAAAAACAAAAAAACGAAACAACATAGACGAAATTAAAACTACATAAATGCTTACGGCCATAAAACATTGAAGCATCAGTTCCCGTTCGATCACTGAAGTTAAGTAATGTTGAGCCTCGTCAGTAGCTAGATGGGCGACCGCTTGGGAATACCAAGTGTTGTAAGCTTGGATGTGCGGATGGTGTCATGGATATACGACTCGGAATTGGAAATCGGAGAGTCGAGTTCCAGTTCCAGTCGGTTTCGTTATATTAACTCACGCGCAAATACCCTTGGAAAAGGTATGAATCAACCCCTTCTCTCCCCAGCTGTTGGTTAATTAGTAAAAAATGGTATCATTATTATCTCTAAAAATTCTTACAATCTAAAATATTTTCTGGCTTTAAATAACCTATAAAAGGTTGATAAACTGTAAAAAAAAATAACAAATCAATTAATAAGAAAAAGATAAGTAAACGAATAAAAAGAAATAAAAGTAAATAAATAAAAATAAACTTGTCTTATTTACATTATTCGGATTGTTGCTCTCATCTTTATTGAATATTCATGACGTTTCGGCCGTTGTACGCTCGGGCCTTCTTCAGGTGATTGGAATTTTGAACTGAACCCTTTATTTCGTTCACCAGGGCAGATTGTTCTAGTTCCATGTGCCATGCCTCTTCCGGATATCTCAGTTATCTCCCTTTAACTCAACTCTCCAAGTTCTTGTTCAGCACTGCAGTAGCCAGGTATTGAACTCACAGCCCTTTGGCTCAAGTTACTGTATCCAACCGACGTATAAAAGCGATGGCAAATAATTACAGTACCTCATCTCAGAAAGAGGATTGCAAGGAAATTCCCCTTTTAGGTGGTGTTGTATAAAGCAGTATATAAAGAAAAGGGCTCGAGATCTCACTCCTTTTATCCACAGGTTGCTGCAGGAATAGAACATACCCCGTGTCCCCTGTTTAATCCCCTGTGAACATCGTGCCCCACTGTAAATAATACAGCACAGAATCTTATTCTTCTTTATGTGACGTATTCCTTCAGGTCGTTGGCGATCATGTCTCTTCACAATTTCTTCTTCTTTGTAGCTCTTAAGAAATGTTGTCTTTCTGTTATCTCCCTGAAACTCTGTTCTATCATCCATTTACTGAAGCTCACTAAGTATGCTAAGCATTATTTTTCTCTGTTTCTCATGCCTTCAATCTGTCCTGTGAAAATCAGATTTCCAGGCCTTCTTTCCTCATTATATGCCCCAGACACCTCAACTCTCCTGATGTTAAGTATAAGTTTCCTTTTTGTTTTCATCTTCTTCAAAGCTTTGTCTTTGCTCACATATTCGTACATGTTTTTCTCAGCAACCTTCTGTAGAACCATATTTCTGTTGCTTCAAGCCTCTTCTTTATTTTTGAGGAGATTGTCCAGCATTTGCCGCCATACTGGAGGACAGATATCACGTAACAGTTCAGTAATCAAAGTAACAAAGTTTTTCTGTCTCTTAAAACTCTACTTGGCTTTTGGCTATCCCAATATCTCTTCGGATTTCAATGTCGCTCTTTCCGTTCTCTGTTAAAACATTTCTCAGATATTTAAATTTTTGTACTTGTTTGATATTTGGTATCTCCGATTTGTAATTTGCATTTTGGGCTCATCCACTTATCTTGAAACATTAAACTGGTCACCCACAATACAAACTGGTAACGTCGATTTCCTCAAAGATGAAGAAGAGACTCGAGGCGACGGAGATGTGGTTCTACAGAAGTATGCTAAGGATGTCATGGACCGAGCATGTGAGCAACGATGAGGTCTTAGAGAGGTTACAAACAAGGATGAGGCTTATACTTAACACCAGAAAGAGGCAGCTGAAGTTTCTGGGACACATAATGAGGAAGGAAGGCCTGGAGAATCTTATACTCACAGGTCAAATAGAGAGAAAAGAGACAAGAAAAAGCAGCGCGTGACATACCTGACGAGCTTGAGCAGGTGGATGACAGAACGTGGTTTGAGTGAGGAAGCAGAGGGAAGAAGCTTGCTGTGATCTGCAAGGGATAGAGGAAAGTGGAGGGCCATGATCGCCTACGTCCTGAAAGGACATTACACATAAAAAGAAAAGAACGCCGCAACATAGTAATAATGCTCTCAACAAAAATTATCTAATGCCGAGCATCGTGTCTTTACTAAATAAAACCCAATATAAGGCTCGAGAATCCCTCAAGCTACTGGTGAAATGGTAGTGATGGATGAGTTTTTAACTTGTACATGGAAGACAAGATGGTAGGGAGATAAAACAAGATGGTAAGGAATCAAGATTATGAACATAAGGAGAAAAAACTTTAGCTTGAAGAGATCAAGATTGAAGTGTTCAGAGGAGCATCCACGTTGGAGTCTTTCCCATAAATTGATAGTTCTTTGGGAATAGCTGTCTGAGTGGAACGTTCTTCTTACATTTGGAACCCAGGTGTGTGTGTGTGTGGGGGGGGGCGACTGTGACTCGGCTCCATGAAAGAGGCATAGAGTCTCCTATCTGTAAAGATTTGAACTGTTGGAACCAAAGAAATATGTTCCTCCGGACCTTTGCCGTGGAAATAGCGATGATGTAGTGATAGGCTTGCGACGTTGCGTCAGTGATAAGGTCGGACATAGGTCATTCCTACTAAGGCTGGAAAGTGATGATTGTGCAGCTCCAGCTTAAGTATTGCATTAGAAGTCAATTTTTGGTTTTAATCTGATTTTTTAACTTGTACAAGGCCAAGGTGCCACAAGAGGTAGAGTGCTACAAAGTAAAAGGCACCATCCCAAAAAGAAGATAAGACCACCGGAAGAAACAGAAAAAAGGCTTTAGAGGGAAACGCAATCTAAAATATAAAACAAGGGATACAAAGACCTTTACAAATTTTCAAAAGACAGTGGAGGAGAGTGAACTGGGCGATAGGCGAACCTATCTATTCCTATTAGGATTGCATCCTGTTTTAAAAGCTTATGCAGTTGCAGAAGTAATATATTAAAGCTCTTCAACAAATAATATAAATGCGTATAGTTTTTATATAGGGCAACGTTTATTTCATTGCGGAGGTTAAAAAAATAATATGCCGGAGGTGGAGTGACCCGTTTCGCTTAAAGAAGAAATAAAGGAAAAACAAACAAACAGACAATTGAAGAGATGGCGGGCAAGACGGTACGGTTTTAAATTATTTTTATTTAAAAAAACCCAAAATAAAAACCCAAAAAAGAAACAAATAACAGATATAGTTGTTTTAAAGAAAACCTTTTAATCTTTGCATTTTTTTTATTGCGTGTGTGCGTGCGCGCATGCGCGAATCGTTGGGATTTTGTGAGGAACGCTGGGAAAGAAAAAATCCATTCAAGGTCATTATTGAATGAAACGATTGTTGAGTTTTTACTGCTTGTTTGGTTTATTTTTCATTTTTTTTTTTTTGCTTTTCTTTTTTTGAGTTTGTTAGTTATACATTAGACGATAGTGCTTTTTTACATCGTGTCATATTGCTAATATTGCATTATTTCATAAATTTAGCAGCTTTTGCAATGATTCCCCAAAATTACTGAAATACATACATTTATTACTTCAAACGTTATTATAGTGGATACTCGTACAATTGGTATTTTTTTTCATTTTTATTTTTACTTTAGACAGCGTCTATCGACCTGCGCATTCGATACGTCTCTATAAAGAAAATGTGCTCTGCAGCAAGAATCGAACCTGTGTCCCCCTTTGTAGGAGAAACCACTATTTGAACCGTTAGAAGACATTTTCTTTATTGCGATTTCTCTAGTACGCACGACAATAGACTTAATACATATAATAAAAATTGAGCGTCTATTTCAACTATGAGTATCCACTAAATAATAATGTTTGAAATAATACGAAAATGTGCGATTAAAAATAAATTCTTTAGAAACACACTCACACACACACATATATATATATATATATATACATAAGTGTACACTGAGGTGAACACAAGCAACGACGGTCTATTCTATGCATAAACGAAATCTTCATTAAAGTAATCAAAATTGCGTTCAAGCATGAAACAGACTGTCGCAGCTGGGTGTTCAGCTCTGTGTCCATTTTTATATTTACATATGCTCTAGACCTGATATTGAGCACTTTTTACCCATAAGTATAGCATACCTTAAAACTATATTTTATAATATATATATATATATATATATATATATATATATATATATATATATATATATATATATATATATACTACCCCTGTCAAAAGTGTGAATTTTCATTTCATCTTTCGTTTCATTTTTTTTTTGGAAGTGTTATCTGATGATCCAGTGTCCTTTAAAAAGGCTCTGGTGAAATAAATTATTATAATGGAACCATAACTTGGTCTGTTTTTCTTTAATATATATATATATATATATATATATATATATATATATATATATATATATATATATATATGTATTTTGACAATGAATAATTCTCTCAAACATATATATATATATATATATATATATATACCGTATTTCGTCAGCAATAATTCTCTTAAACATGTTTTGTTAAATAATATGGACAGGTTCTGTTTATCATTTTTTTTTTTTATTACATCCTCCAAATTTCCGAATAAGTTGTTTTTGTGTTATTGGCAAATTTGCCAAAATTCATATTAACTTTTATTTTATATTATTTTTCCCCAGTATATTCGTTTTCAAAGATTGGTCTGTGTATAGTTACGCAACCAGCGTTCTCACGTCTTTCAGGTCTCTTTTCTTTAGGGGAACGTATGCTGAAATGTGATTAATATATATATATATATATATATATATATATATATATATATATATATATATATATATATATATATATATATATATATATATATATATATATATGTTTATATATAATATAATATATATATATAAAAAAAAAACAAGCGCTAGATAAAACTTTCTCTTTGACCGTTTATATGACGTACTCTGAGCGACTAGAAATTGTTAATATGAATTTTGTCAAATCTATCGATTGGAAAAAACAACTTATTCTGAAATTTAAAAGATTTAATAAAAAATAGACAGAATCTGTTCATATTATTTAAGAATAAGAAAACATATATATATATATATATATATATATATATATATTGAAAAGTATCCTTTGAAAATTTGTCTGATTGCTTATCGATCCAATTGAAAACTTTTTT